AAATAAAACACAAACAGTTCACTGAATTCATATGCAAAATATGAAAGAATGCCCTAGGAAAGAATTTCTGGTTAGATGAAAGAATAAAGCACAAATCCTAGAAATAAAAAGTGCAATGGAAAAGCCATGCCAGCAGCCATAACCAATCAGAAGACAAAATGTCAAACCATCAGGACAAGAATGTTGTAGTAGGTAACATAATGATACACTTGTAACAAAATAAATCATGACAAGTTAATGTGAGGCTCACAGACGATTCTGAAAGACCTAACCTAAGCATTTCAGAAGACAAAGAAGGCCTGGAAAAGAAAGACAAATTTATTCCCCGAAATTATTGCAGAAAGTTTTCAAATCTAGGCCTTGAAATGGAGAGCTAGATAATAAGGAATTTAAAACTTCAAATAGATATGCCCAGAAAGGAATCTCACCACAATACATTATAGAAAAATTCCAGAAAATCAGAACAAAGAAAGAATACTAAAAGTTATGAGAGAGATATGAAGTAATTTATAGAGACAAATCTATCAGAGTAACAGCAGGTTTAGACCAGAGGACCATGGAGAAGCATATCAAATTAAAAGAAAAATTTTAAAAACCCTTCAATTGCATTATAATATTCTGCAAAATATCTTTAAAGAATTAGGAAAAAATTAAGAATATTCATGACAAAAAGCCCTTTAAGTAGTTCATAACCACCAAACCTGAACTACAATAGTATGACGTTAAACAAAAGAAAGAAATAGAAGAATCAGCCAGAGAAAAATAACATGATGACAAGAACTACTCAATAATTTTAGTAATAACTCACAGTCAAAAAGCCTTTAAGAATAATAGTTTCTGAATCACAGACCACAAAGTCAAAACTGGTGAATCTAAATTCAGCCAGTAATGGTTGCATGTGCCTGTAAACATATCACTTGGTAGGCTGAGGCAGGAGGATCCCTGAAACTCCAAGGCAAGCATGGGTAGCAAAGTGAGTTAAGGCCATCCTGTACTGCAGAGCAAAAACCTATTATAAAAAATACCAAAAAAAAAGAACAACAAAAAAAAAACCCACAAACAAACAAACAAACAAAAACCCCATATTTATTCAAGAATGAAAGAAAACAGTGGAAATCACACAGAATAAATGGCACTAACCAGAGTTCATATTTGGGAGTTGGAAAAACACTGAACAGATGAGTTACAAACAGCATTATGTAAAAAAGTGAGGGAAACAAAAAAAAATCAACCATATAAAATTGCCATCTCACTGTATTTTACATGCAATCTAAATTGTTCAATTGATTTTGAAAATTTAGCATCAATAAATAATATTATTCACAACAGGTGTATTATGATTTCATTAATAACATCTCCACATTTATTTTGTTTTCAATAAATGATTTACTGCAAATTCGTATAATCTAACTCCAATTTTACCTAAGATTGCTTGAATATTTCAAATAACAAGCCAAACTTTACAGGGATTCAGGGACACGTCCATTTCCAAGGGCAAGGGTATGATAGCTGCCTAAATGTGCCCAAGGTGTTTTCCATTATGTCCTCATATCTTCACATTTCTGAGAGACTTTGAATCTCACTCTGGGACTGTTTCAGTGAACTCACACTTATTTGTTTTCAGATTACTTGCTACAGTTAACCCAGGTTAACCAAATGAAAAATACACCCATAGGATTACAAAAGCAAGGGAAAGGGGAATTAAATAGGAATTAAGATATGCTATGTACATGAACCTGCTCAACACAGTGAATGCAGGCATTATGAGCTACAACATATGCTAATAAATACATAAAAATTTTAAAAAGAACAATTAAAGTCCAGAAGTGCCAAGTAAGTTATCATAGGAACTTTTCCATGTTTTTACAGCAAACATAAACACTCTAAAGATAATGCCATCAGAGGCACATGACACAAGCTTGGAATCCCGGGATCATGGGAGACCTCCTAGGATCATCCTGAGTGAATCCAGTCATTCACTGAAACTACTAATAAACATACAAAATGTCTAGATTGGGCCTAATATACTCATATAGAAATTCTTCCTTTACAACAAGCAGTGAAGCTGCAAAATGCCTAGCAAATGAAAACTTATTATGATCAGGATTGTAATGATCATTAAAAAGTGTTGTTTAAAATTGTACCCAATTCATTCTGTATAGGGCTTCTGGAGAGTACTTACCTTAAGAAATGTTATGATTGGGCTGGGGATTTAGCTCAGCGGCATAAGCGCCTGCCTTGCAAGCAGGCAGTCGCGAGTTCGATCCCTGGTACCGATAAAAAAAGAAAAAGACAAAAAAAAAAAAAAAAAAAAAAAAAAGGAAAATACCCTTAAAAAAAAAAAAGTTATGATTAATTTGATGTGTATGTGTGTCTACCCCTGAGATACTCATTTGTATGTGGATACATATTTATACACAAGTATAAATGCAACAGAATTCATAATTAAATGTATATAATTTGACATCTTTATGGACTTAAATATAACAGATTATTCACAATTTTTGAAAACATACCAAGAATTTCATATTCATGATATAAAGCATAACTTTTCAACATTGCCACTTGACTTCCAGAAGATTATAGCTTATTTATTTGAAAGAAACTTATAATTTCTTTCAAAATGAGTGCTTTTATCAAGCTTAGTCACAAAATCTGAAAAAAAAATACAACTATTTCTAACACACTTTTAACATTCATATAGTTTACATGGAAATGGTGGTGGCCAGAACTTTCCTAGTTTCACCCCATGTTTCTGCGAACAAATCTCTGAAGATCATTATCTGAAAGGTGTGGGATTTTTTTTTTTATGCAGAGCTAGGGTGATGGCCAAGCAGAGGCTGATCTGGACACATATGCGCATGCCCTAGGTCGTGACTGCTGAGATAGTGGTCAGGAAAAGACTGGAATGTAGAATACAAATCCTATCCTCCACTAGGTTTGACATCTAGACCATACACAGGGAGGCCACACAAAAAGGTATGATTCTGGAATGTGGTATGGCTGCTGCCAGCAGTTTGAAACACAATGGGTTTTCTGCCATCTGGAACAGGGTGCTCTGCAGCTTTTTCCTCAACACAAAGTCTTCCCCTTTTACATTTTTGAGACTACAAAGGGTGAAAACATCTTGTTTCTTATGATGCATTCAGGTCATACTTTATATTTTTCTGTTCCTTCTCAGCAATTGCGATCTCCTCAGTTCTATATATTCAGTCCACGGTTTTATTAGTCTTTCTCTCTGCTCTAATTTATAGTATTTTAAATCATCCTCCTGGGCTCTTTCCTAGTTGATTCTCAATAGAAATCTGCCTAAAATCACTCAACCATAGCTATGCCACCACCTTGACATTCAACTGCCTTGATATTTCTTCTGCCAGATTAAATAGTACACTACTCTCAATCTTAGTCTCAGGGAAAATCTCTGGACATTATTCAAATCCAGACAAACTTTCTGCTAAACTATCACATGCATCATCTGCACTCCATCAAGCTATGCAGTCCTTCTTCCAAGCACAAACCTCCAGAGCTTGGCCTATAGTGGTTTTCTGGTCTCTCTCCCTTTTAAAACAGCCTAAGATATCAGTGCTACTCTTTCAAGCAACATCGGTGAATCTTTCCAAACTCTTTCTACAAGATATTCCCAACGACTCTTGAAACACAGGGTCAGGCATAGAAAAAACAATGACATGATTTATGGTACCAAATGCTGTGTTGATTACTTTGTTCTCATTGCTGAGACAAAATACCTGATGCCCAGAATGTAGGAAAGAAAGTTTATTTTCGTTTACAGTTTGTGGAGGTTTCAGTTGATACTCAGCTAGCTGCAAGGCATGGTTGTGTGGCTGAAGGACAACCATTTGCCATGACTGTGGTATTTACTGAAAGTACAAAGCAAAAGGCAAACAGTTGCAGAATGCCACTTTTCCTCTCTTGTATTTTAAGCAGGTAATACCATTTGTGTGTCTTGTACTCACAACATCTCCCCACCCTCCTCTTGCACAAGCTGAGGATATTTAGAAAGTAAGGACCCTGTGACCCTGACAAATATTTTAGTTAAACTTCCGACCTTCTCAAATTGGAACAGTGGGTAATATCCTAAAAGTTAAAGGGCCATCCTTTACACCCTAGGACAGAGAAATGCTGAGTTACTTAGTTAACCCTCTAGACTCTTCAAATTGACACAATGTATCAATCATAACAGATGCTTTCCGGGATTTCTTTTCTTTTCACACACATACACATACACACACACACACACACACACACACACACACACACACACACACACACACACACACAGAATGGATGACAGGGTGTTTCAGCACTGTCCGTAAAGATGTAGATCACAATATCCAGAGAATTTCTTCAGTTTTCTCAGTAATGTTGCATTTAGGAGTCATTCAATATTATTAACCAACATTCTGAAGATTTCAGTGTACAAAAATCACATATACGTTGAGATTTTTCTCTATGGGTAACTCTGTATGTTATTGTACACAGTGTAGTTATTTTTCATCATTTTTGTAGTTATGGAATATCAAATTGGTATTTTATATTAAGCATGAATATAATGAATTGATATTTCTCTTAATCCTACTCTTTTTTGTACAGATTATTTAGAATTTTCTCTGCCACAATCTTGGTGAGTTATATTTTCAACTCTTCATTTTGAGCATTGAATATTTGTTAGTTGTGGTGGTGTTGCCTTAAAATGTATGGGGCTTTTATAACTTTAGAGACATCCAATTATATGAGTGATCTGGTGTCCATATCTACAATCAGGTTAACCACAAGTATTGAAAAAAACTCCTGAAAGTCAGTGGAAAAATCTTGCCATAAAGTTAAAATTTATAACTTCTAAATTTCCAAAATCAGACACAAATGCTAAAATTGAGCCCGGACCATAGCACCTGCCATAAAGGCAAGAGGTTGAAAAAAAAAAAAAAAAAAAAACAGAGACAGCCTTGAAGAAGTTTTTGTTTCATGTTGAATCACTGTGGGACACGCGATATTCATCTTCTGACAATAATAAGCTGCAACATCCTCAGGCATCAGTCTGGTCCTAGTGAGAGTAAAGTCTATGCCAGACCCTTTGTCACTGAACCTTGATGCAATGTCAGGATCCCTGGTGGATGCACCATAGATGATAAAGTAGGGAGGCTACCCTGGTTTACGCTGGTATCAGGACAAGTAGCTGCCAACATTCTGGCCAGCCTTGCCTGTGAGGGTGGCTGCTTCTCCTGGTGACAATAGCTGGGAGGCCGAAGGTCTGTCCTCACAGTTTCTCCACAGGCATCTAAGACTGGAGGTAAAACAGAAGAGAAAGCCTGAATTCTAGATCCTATCCATATCTTCCCAATAAGCGAGGAGGACTTCACCACTCTGACTTTCCAGCACTGTTCATGCTCAACAGAGTTACCAGGTCAAAGGAGACAACAACATTGAAAGGATGTCACAGACATGCAAACCACTCCATGCTTCCTTCACCTGGGCACCAGAATAATAGGAGAAAAAGGAGCTGAGTCAGGCCTGCTTCCATATATCACTCTGGAGCCCACCTGAGGCAGATTTTCTCCAGAGCTCTGCCTCTAGCATTGCTATGAGCTCCATGCAGCAATGTGTGTTCAGGGGGCTGACACAAGAAAGCATTTGGAGAGGAACAAACTGTGCTTCTAGCTACAGAGGTGTTTGTCTCCTCCTCTGTATTTGACTGTTTCACACCTAGAACACCATGTTGAGAAAGAACACTGAATCAAATTAAGGATAGAAATTCTTTCTTACAGTAATATAATTTAATTCCTTCAATCCTTATTTCTTCTTCCATACCATGTGCCTACATTCCTTCCAGATAAGGTTGCTATAATCTTGTGATAAAAAGGGAATGCAGACCAAATGCTTTCTAACATGAAAACACATAGGCCTTTTTCTCTACTATGTAGTTGGATTGGATAAAGTGAAATGTTGACCAGATATCTACAGTTCGCACCCTTCTTGTCTTTGCTGTGTGGTGATTATTCCTGAAGCTTTCTTACTACTTAAAATGTGAAGTAAAATTTATGTTCATAACAATTTTTTTCTGGATGGACCAAACCACCTGGTTAAAGCACCCTACGACAACGATCATCAAACCACAGACATGCCGATGATCATCAAACCACAGACATCAGGACAGCGCCCATGGAGGTAGGAATCCACTATGGAAGGTGCAGTGCTTCACCTGCTGAAACTAGCACTGAAAAGGCAATAAAATGTTTTCTCAGGAGATTCTCATGGTGCAGTATGATTATAACAGCAGAAGCAACTATTTGTATCCCTACATGAAAATAGAATATTAAACATTTGTAAAGTGATAAATACATTTAAGAATGTCTTTTCAGTTAAAAATAAAATGAATAAAATACAAGATTTTAAAATTTCTTGAAATGTAGCTATAAATATTAAATGAAAAAACATTTCCTTTAGAAATGGTTGTTAAAAAGTTCATGCACTTTGTATATAATATGACAGCTCTCACTGAGTAGGAAGCTTTGGAAGGTAACTTTTATAAAAAAGGGCACTTGTTGTACAATGCATAGACTCATGCACCCTCAGCCCAGGGCTGATTGACCACCAGCCTGCCTTTCATATTAGGGGCAAATATGTTGCCTGCCACACTGAGATCAAAGTTCTAGGACACCATATCTTCCATCAGTACCTCAAAGGAAAGGAGCTGTGAAGAACCTGATCTTTCTCCCCCACCCCCACCATGTACACTGGACGAACAGGAAACAGATTCACACTGTGCAAGGTCATTTGCATGGTTCATGAAACTGAATTCCCAGCTCTCCTACCATCCCTTGGACCCACCTTCAGTTCTGCACATTATAGGCACTTCACATTTGGGCCCTGATGTTCTTAAATGAATAAGATAGGACACATTTGTGAATCGGTCCATTCAGTCCACCTGGGGAGAAAAGCATGGCACCAATAAAAAACAAAATAAATATTATTTTAAACAGGATATTGCCACAAGATGAAACATTTCTTATTGACATTTCTTTGTTCCTTATATGCTCTTTCAATACTTAAAATTCTGATGTTTTTCAGACAGGCAATTTTCAGACTAATTTAACCTTTTGAAATATTTCATTAAATGTTATTAATCAGAATTAACAGCATTTGCATATCTCAAATTTTTCACCCACCTCATAGGTCTTCCTTCTTTCACCCTAAACTACCTGAGCTCTCAGGGCTCCAGGAAGATGAATGAGTTTTAGATATCTGAGATTTGGTCATCACTGTGAAGAGGAGGCCAGCAGTCTGAAACTTATAATTCATATGTTAAGGCACAGGACTTCCACCTACCAGAGGTGCAAGGCATTCTCGTGATCAAAGTTATGCCCCTGCAAAAGCCACATTCCTGAGAGAAAGAACACCTCAGACTCACCAGAGCCAGAGTCATAATAGGAATAGAACTTTAGTGTGGCTTGGAAGGCTTGATGGCAGGAAGATGTGTGATAAGAAGCAGGAAGCTCTAAGGGGAAGAAGAACTCAACAGCTTCAGAGGAAAAAAAAAAAGGCAGAGCAGATGGTGGGCACAGGAGAGCAGAAGAGACCTGGTAAGAATCATAGTTATGCAGTAGGGAGAGGTCAAAACTGGTATCATCCACAAAGCCTAGGAAAAATCTCAATTCTGCAGCTGCAAGGATAGCACAATGCTGTAGAGTTCTGCAACCATGTGAAGGCCCTGCATCAATCTAAACAACACAATAAAAAGCAAATGAAACAAAAGAGTGGAGAAGGGATTTGAGAGAATTGGAAGGAAGGGGATGGTAGAGAAATAGAGGGGAGCAGATAGGAAGAAAGGAAGGTAAGGAAAAGAAAGGAAAGGAAAAGGATGGGAAAGAAAGAAGAAAGGAAAGAAAAAACTGATAGGAAGGGAAGCGGAGGGGAGCAGAAGGGAGGGGAGGGGAAGGCAGGAAAAGGGAGGGGAGGGGATGAAGAAGATGGGAAGGAAGGGGAGGGGAGGGAGAGAGAAGGGAGGAAACTGAGGGGAAGGGGAGGGAGGGAAGTGGAGGGAAGGGACCAAAAGGTAGAGGAAGGAAGGGGAGGGGAACTAGGGTAGGGGAGAGAAGAGGAGGAGAGGGGAAGGGAAGGGAAGGGAAGGGAAGGGAAGGGAAGGGAAGGGAAGGGAAGGGAAGGGAAGGGAAGGGAAGGGAAGGGAAGGGAAGGAAGGGAAGGGAGAAGGGAATTGCATGACCATCTTCATCCAGACCAGTTTCTTCTGAACTCTCTGGATGAAGATCTAGATACCAGCAGTTTTCTGAGATCACAAACAATATTTCAAATACATTATGCAAGGATAGAAGCCATTGATAGTTGCTGTGGGAAGACACTGAGTTTCAAAATATCATGAGAAACTTTTGAAGAGTGACAGCAAGGGACTAATCTGATTTTTTTTTTTTTTTTGCTTTTGGATTTTTTCCATTTTATGCATTATTATGGTTGCTGTGAGAAGCAGAATCAACCACTTGCCTATCAATTTGTTTCCATACATTTGGATCTAACAAGAAAAACCAGTATTTACCATGTATTCATTACATACCCAGCTCGTATTCTGAGTAATTAGTATACACCTTAAAAAAATCATAAAAGTTATTATTATACTCTTGCCGAAAATGAGGGGATGAAACTTGGAAAATTTCAAGTAATTTACCACATTCACCCAATTGTAGTCAATTCAGTACAATTCGTGTCCCTGGGCTGACCATTCATTACCTCCTGTAAGTGACAGGGCAAGTGTTGTCCAGAGAACACATCCATCCTGCTAAGGGATGGTAAGGTTTCTGGTTGCAAATAGAAACATTTGTATATGTGATGATGTTAGCATGACTCCATTCTGACCTGAAATAGCATCAAAATGAAGAAGAGTTCTAAAGCCCAAAGTGATCCCACGATGCTGGTGAACTCTTCAAAATAATTCCAGGGTGGCACCCTCTGTACCTACTGAGTGAATTATCCACAAAAGTCTCAAACCACACACCAGCCTGACAACCTGATGTCTGGGCATAGTCATCACTTTTACAAGAAAGAGCTGTGTGAATTTAGAATTTGTATTATCTACTTACTAAATGTTTACAGTATTACCCAACTCATCACTTACTGCAGAGAGAAATAACCTTCTACTTTCATACTAAGAAAATACTTAGTTATACTTGGGAACCTACATGAAATGTTCATAAATTCACACACCAAGACCTTTCTGTTCACTTCCAAGCATCTATGAAATAAAAGTCATTTTCTACTGCAAATATTTTTATTTTTCAGTACAGTTTACAGAGGTACAATTTACATGGCTGCAATCTACCCATTCTGTGTATATTCATAAGATGTTTCAGAAATGTACAGATACGTAACTACACCATATTCGTGTTAAAGAACAGGTCCAGCACCCCTGATATTTTGTGGGGTTCCATAAGCCCTTTTCCTCAGGCTTCCCTCATCCCAAACAGATCTGAGCTGCACATCATCCTGCATGTGGATGAAGGATGCAGATTTTCCAGATTATCTGTGTCCACATTTCCTTTAATAGATATTGGCTATTTCTAGTGCTCAAATTCATATGTATTCTCAGTACATATTAAGGCCTTGGTAGAAAACCACTGTATTTTCCTTGACACAACATCCTGTGTCCTTCATAGGCAACACAGTACATTTATGCTTCTGTTGTTGACATCACTAGATTAAGGTAGTTAGGAAATAACTTTCTCAGCCTGTATTTTAAGCATGCAGGAGACTGAGGCAGGAGAATCACAGTAAGTTTGTGGCCAGTCTGGGCTACATAGTGAAGTTAAAACCAGCCTGGAACACCTTGCAAGACCATGTCTCACAAAAATAAAAAAAATACAAATTGCATTCAAGAATAGAGCCTGAAGATGCTTCAGGAAACTCAAACAATTATAAATGATGTATGAGCCTCTTGCTCATTCTCGTATTGCTATGATAAAGCTAGATGCTCAATTCCTATTTAAAGTGAACACATTAATGAGATTAGTTAGCACCTTGTTTTCAAGGATGCACAAAATTCTCCATCACCAAACACAGAATTTTATTAGTTAACACAAACTGTGATTACTGAAGAGCATGTGCTATTAAATACAAAATTAAATTCATCATTAGAGGTAAGCACATTTTCTGATTTACACTTGAAATAGAGAGGGATATTCGGTGAGAAATATCACTATAAAACAATATTCAGAGAAATGAAATGTTGCTCGCTCTGGAGAGGAAGGAAAAGGCCACCAGTCGTGAAAATAACTCAAAATACAGGAAAAGGAAGAGATAGATTCTTTCCTACAGTCTACAAATGGAATGTACTTTACAATATGTTTATTTCAGCTCTTGAATCTGGTATTAGACTTTGTCCTATGCAAGTATAGCTAATGAATTTCTCATCTCAAAAATTTGAGTTTGTAAATTATAATAAAACAAAACAAAACTAAAGCAGACACCTTGGCTGTATTTTCAAATCGCAAAATGCCTCGCAGATAAAGAGCCCCTACAACTTCTGCTCAGCCCTGCAGACCTGCTCATGCATCAAGCAGGCACAGTCTCTCAGGCAGCAGGAGGAAGTGCTCAAGCCCTGGGTCACACAGGGAGCAAGCAGGTGGGGAGACCTTGGCAGGAAGCTTATGTTCCAGGCTGAATCACTGTGGGAGGAGCACTAATACCCTGCCAACAGTAATAACTTGCCACATCTTCAGGCTGCGTGCTGCTGATAGTGAGAGTGAAATCCGTGCCAGACTCACTGCCACTGAACCGGTCTGGGATTCCAGATACCCGAGAGGATGCCCAATAGATGAGATGTTTGGAAGTTTGTCCTGGTTTCTGCTGGTACCAGCTTAAAATATTCTTGTTGGTACCACTGTATAGAAGACTCTGGCTGAACTTACAGCAGATGATGGCACTATCTCCAGTAGAAACTGCCAGAGAAACTGGAGACTGGGTCATCACAATGTCACAACAGATACCTGCAATCAGAAATGCAAAGTGATTAGACACACACACACACACACACACACACACACACAGGCTTTATCTTATAAATATTAAAATACTACGTATAAAATGCTAACACTAATGCTATTTATCAATTAGTGTACACTGGGTCTTATTATTTCTCATTGCATTTTTAAATTATAATTTTAACTCTACACAGATACCACTCTCAATGATTTTGGAACTGTTCAATTTGTCACCAGAGACACAGAGCAATAGGCACATGAAGACATGGATCCTTGACCTCATCTTGTTGCCCTTGACTTTCTGATGGAACTCAGATATCCTTGAAAAGCCTCATTTATAAAGTCTGAGAGGTTGGGCTGGCCCAGGAGAAGCCTATGAATATTCATCTGTAGATAGGAAAGCAAATTGCATGAGCAGTGAACTATGAAACTAACTGTTTAAATCAAGAGCAAAAAATAGCTTCACAGAAAATGTACTTAGGTGACAACAAAAACACAGTAGCTAGGTCTATAAATCTGAGATCAATTAGAAATTGTAAAATTACGTATCATTAGATGGCCTAGGTCAGTGATGGAAAACAAGAACAGATTTAATGTGCATATTACAGGAACAATAGGCTGGCTGCTTCACATCAATGCACTGAGTTACACAATAAAATATGTTAGAAAAAGATTATCAAATAGAAAAAGGTGAGAGAGGGAAAGATGGTAGAACAAAGAGAAAGACAAAAAGAAAATGACTTCTACTACAGGAGTTCTTATTTTCTATGACAAAAACAAAGTCTGGTTTCCAAAGCCAAGGTCTTCCTTGATGCTGAGAAACACAGGACGTGGCTGAGCCCCAGTGTCTCCCTGTGCATGAGCCACAGAGTCAGGACATTTAAGCTGGGGGCCTGAAGAACTCCGTGGAAGTGTGAATCAAGTACACACAGAAGACTCTGCTTTCCACGGCTACTGGAAACTGAGGAAAGGGATTCATGCAAATTGGAAAACGGAGAAAGAATAAAAGGACAAAATTTACTAGGGAAACAATGGCTGCAGAGTTATACTGCCAAAGCTTATATGCCAAAAACACCTGCTGTAGAGGACATAAAAATTCACAATCATTCAATTAGATTAAGATAACATTTCTGATCACCAGATACCAAGGTTTAAAACCTCCCTGAAGGAAGCCACGAACATCCTAATTCCTAATCAATTTGATCTCAATCTGAATTTTTCTTAAGTTTGTGTAATCCATTTCAAAAGTTCCTTAAGATTACTAGATATCATCATATAAGAGAAAGATAGAGTATGAGTTGAGGAAGCTTCTAATTTCCAAGGAAAAGAATACAAAGGATAAGTGAAACTGTCTGCTTTCATTCTGAGTAAGTTGTAATATCTTCTAGTTATTTAAACTCATAATTTGGTTTTGTTTCTGCTTCAAAGAGCTGAAATTTAACCTTTTTCATTTCACTTATTAGTGTTTATTCAAGTTAAGCAGCCAGTACAGAGGGTCTTAAAAACACAGGACAGTCATACACGTAGAGATTTCTGGCTTTCTCTAGATGAAGCAGACTTTTCCATCTGCCAAGTCCTTTCGAACTGAGTGTTCTTATGCAAACACTAAACCCAGCAAAGGACCTTACCTAACATTTGTTCCTACCAGCCTCAGGATTTAGAGATCACATAATCCCATAAGATAAAAACAGATATAATCTTTAATTTATAATAAAGTAGAATATTTAGGTACCTATTTTTTGAAAAACCAGAATATGCTAGTGGCCACAATGCACACTGGGTGTGTTAAACTACTTGGGTTAGCAGAGAAATATTAGAAACTTATTGAAAATGACACAGGCTTAAGGGCTCCCAGCATGGGAGTCTGCAATGAGAGTGGCTCAGCAGTTTCAACCCACAGCGAGCACCTTGGAAGAGGCCTAGGAGAAAGTCAAGCAGAGGTCTGAGTTACACTGAGATACTGAAAGATTTGGCTATTTCTGGTTCTTTTTAGGTGTGGCCATTTCCTTTTACTTTGTGGACAGGTGATAGTGGTGGATCAATATCCCAAAAAGAAGAAATTTGGGAAACCGTTTTCCATGTTGATTCAGAAACACATGAACATAAAATCATGCCTGGCTCATTCTGTGCATTATCAAAGGGATTCTTTTTTTTATTTTTATTTTTTTTTATTTAAAGGAAGATTAAACAAAACAGAAAATAGGTAGAAATAGTACATACATTCAGAGAAAAAAAGAGTAAGAAATACTATTATTTTTTGTTCAAAATGATTTTAACCTTCTTTAGTTTGTTTAATCTAAACATAAATGAAGATATGGATAACTGCATGTATGTTTAAATGTATAGGATTGACAACCATGTTACTAAGTTTTTGTTGGACAGTTGATTAGAACTCTTTGCAGTCTCTTGTTTGAATTCCCACTTTGCATGTTCCATTTTTGTACCTTGAGTAACTATTTGTATAACGACAACATCAACTAGTGATTTCTTACTCTTATCTAAGGGATTCTTAAGAAATCTTTTAATTCATCTGATAGATAAAGAGATAAGCATAACCATGCACTCGTTTAAATAGTAGTTGCCAGAAAGTTCATATTGCTATGAAACGGTAGTTCCCCTTGAATCAAAAAGACAGAGTTTTCAACCTCATAATTATTTTGACTTGAGTTTATGAAGCTCTTTTATGAAGTTTAATCACTAGGTCTACAAAAAGTATTGCATCTAATTCTTATTCTTAACATTCTTATAATTTCATTGGTAATTACAGATGTCAGAGGCTCTAAAATCAATCCATTCCATCATGTTGATGACAGAAAATTCTGATGATCGGCACTTGTGAAGTACGATATGTTTCTTTCTCTCATTAGTAGGAAGGGAGCTGACTATGCTGTTTTTTATCATTCCAGACACTGATCTGTATGAATGCATGTGTATCCTAGGACCTCTTGGGCAGGAGGGCCACATCCACTGTGACCCCCACAAAGATCAAGACTTTCAGACTGGGATCTTTCTGTCACATGCTGGACACAGCATGGAATATATATCTTTTATTTTTCTCCTAATGCAAAATATAATTTAAATTATTTGGCTTACATAAGAGGTATATATTCCTGGCCTTTACTCCTTCCATATCACTCAACCAGGGAATTTCTATAGTGTGCCACAGAGGAAATCTTTCCTTGCAAATCACAGATATAATAACTGAGGAGGAAGCAGATGGTGCAGCAAGTCTCACTGGCCCATGGCCTGGGGAGGGTTGGATATGAGGCTGAAGCACTGTGAGACGGATGTTATAATATTGCTGACCATAAAAACCATCCACACCTTCTGCTTGGAGGTTGTTTATGGTTTGAATGAAGTCAGACACAGACCCACTGTGACTGAACCAGTCAGGGATCTGAGATGCCCAGGTGGATGCCCAGGGAATGAACAGCCTGGAAGCCTGACACCAGGCTAAGTAAGCAACTAGAGTTGTTTCTCTATAAACTACTCTGGCTGGGTCTATAGTAGGTGTTAACGGTTTTTCCTACAGCCGCAGTTGGGGAGCCTGGAGTCTGGATCACTGTGATATCTCCATAGGCCCCTGCAACCGGAAATAGCATCACCTACACACACCCACTGATATACACACACACACACACACACACACACTCACACACACACACACACGCTGACAAGTAAATGCAAACAAGTTATCATGCATGCATTATGCCTTTAAAATTCATTTAAAATTTTATTAAAAGTCTGAGCATAGTTAGGTCCATACTAGGGATAGTTTTTGTCCTATGATATCTTTAAGATATTTTTTCAACTGTGCAAATATTTCTCTAAAGAGATTCCAGTAGTAAACTTCTCAGCAGAGACGCACAGGAGCATGACAATGAGGACATGGGTCTGAGATCCCACTTCCCTGACCCTGCTGCCTGATGCTGTCTTTTTCTCACTACAAAGCCCTTGTTTATAAGACCTTGGCAGGTGGGCTGGGCCTGTAGGGAAGCCAACTTATAGACAATAAACTGCAGAATTATGGGAAAAATACTATCACATGAACTGTAGTTATGTGAATAAAAATTATACTGCAGTCAAGTTATTAGCTTTATATCTAACTTAGAAAATAGTTAGATATAGTGGATTTTTAAATGAATATATATTCTAGGTCAAAAATAATTTGAAATGGATGTGGTATCCAAAGAATGACCTAGTATCCTCAGATAAATAATTCTGGTGAAATAGTAAAACAAACTATTTACTATTTTAAATAGTAAAATAAACAGAACAGACAAAAGATTCAGAGAAAGAGAGAGAGAGAGAGAGAGAGAGAGAGAGAGAGAGAGAGAGAGAGAGAGCTATAGAGGGAAATAAAGAACAATAAACAAAGATAGAAGCAAAAGAAAGAAAAAAGAGAAACAAAAAAATACTAAAAGAAAAAAGAGAAAGAAAGAAGGAAAGGAAGGAAGAGAGAAAGAGAGGATCATACTTGAGGGAAAAAAAGAGAAGCATCTTGAAAATAATGTAAAATAACTTTTAATAAATTACTATACTCAGAAAAATGAGACTTGAAAAGATAATACAGATCACCTTTTAGAAATACAGGCCTGAAAGAACACATCATTAATATTTTACAAAACCAAAATGGTTTTAAGTTCTCCAGAAAGAATAAAAATAACAATAGATGAAGACTTGAAAACACCAAGAATGGTAACCAAGGAAAAATGTTCAATGTTTTGTCAATTAAGTTTTTTAATCACTGGTTGACTAGGTAATCATTATTGCAACGATATATTATTGAGTTTATAAAATGTAGAAGTAAAAGGAAGTCAGCAAAATTTAAAGACTACCACCTGTAGCATCATGTTAAAAAGAATGCTAGTGGGCACATTTTAGATAAGAGGAGCCAGATGGCACCTTAGACAGACTTGCAGCTGCCCACTGAGGAGGTCACCATCCTTTCCTACCTCCTGGTATCCCCTCCGACTAGGTAGCACTAACACTCTCCTATCCACCAGAGTTATCAATCAGGATTACGAAAATCAGTGTGTGACTCAATAGACAAGAAGATTAAACACTTTGTTGAATTTTTGTTTCTACGGTTCTATTGTTATTTGTTGTGTTTTTATGTACACTTGATGTACTTAATCACATGTACTCTGAGGAGCTGGCACATGTACCTAACTCATCTTAATTATTTTTTATTTCCTCTTGCCCTCCTTTCCCTCCACTTCCTTCTATCTCTAGTTTCCCTACCAATTTGCAGAAGGTTTCTCTCCATATTTTCTCTTATAT